ACGCAGAGAGTAACAGTCCTGGCAACAAGAAGAAAGGGAGTGATCGTCCTTCTCCAGAAAGAAACCTAGATTTAACAAATGAATAAAGATGGTGATACATCCAAATAGCCATTCTCTCCCTTTGTGTCTGGAGTTGAGAAAGTGAGACAAGACTTAAGAAAAAAACTTTACCAATAGCTCCAAATAGCTCACAATGAGCCCCAAATATCTGCAGTCTCACAGTCAAACTGAGCCTTCCTCTTGTCCCACACAACTAGGGCAACATACATTCTAGGCACATGGTTGTCTTCTTTGCATCACTGAAACTTTTGGGACAGATAAGTTCAGAGCTGCATTCCGAGGGGTCTTTATGAATAGGCTAGCCACCCAAATCGCAGATAAGTGGACTGGACCAGGCTCAGTTCAGACCGAGAAGCAGTCAGTCAGTAGCTCATAAAGGGAGTGGTCACCCAATAGCATCACTCTTGACTGCTGATGATGGTTATACAAATCAGAACGGCTCTCTAGGAGGGTTTTTAAGATCCAAGGCAATAAGAGATCAGCAGTAGACTCCTCCACAAATAGGACAGAGGGAAGAGAGAGGAAGATAGATCCGTGAGTAAGCAGAAACAAGGCAGCAGAAGCTACAAGGTGAAGGGAAGATGAAGACAATATGAGTTGACCCAGACCAAAAATGTGAGCCACCACAGTGTCACACCATGGAGGAGAACCTTGGGTGGCTCCATCTCCTAAAGCAGTTCCCAGAGTCAATATGGCATGCAGATTAAGGCTACTGCTGGCTTCTGCCTTAGAGCTTTATCTTTGTGAAGCTTGTCTGTGCAGCTATATAGGCTGCCAATTTGCCTTCCTTTTGCATACCGCTGCTAACAGAGGAAGTGGAAGCCACTGTGGCTCTTCAGTCCAGTTATACCCTTGCTAACCTCATCTCTTGCTCCTGTGGGCAATAGGTTTTGTGTCATTCTATGCCTCTCACATGACTCAGTCACCTGGATCTGGCTCTATTCCCTTTGCTCTAGCAAGTGCCTCTTTCCTCACAGTCTGGATTATTCTGAAGCAATTTTCATCTAGCACTAGAATATATTCTACTGCAATGAATTCAGTTCTGTTTTCTTGAGTGTTCCCTAAAAAGGTGGATGGAAGAAGAGTTTTCCATCGATGTTGTCCAGAAGGGCACTGTGAGATGCCTGCCCAGTCTTCTTAGACATGGTGACTACGCACTTCAACTATACCGAATGAGAAATTCTAGCAAGGAAGAGATATTTTAGGTGGATTGAAATTAAATTCACTAATTTTAAATGGGCATTACATACTATGACACCATTCTTTCTTAAGGAAACAGAAAAAGGAAGGAATGAAGAGAGGGACAATAAATAGCTCTGCTTCCTGGTATAAAATGCTCTTTTCCTAGTTTATTTTTACCCTATCCTGACTCAAGTTAAGTTGTTTATTTTATAAACATGTAATCCCTGAATAACTATTGAAGACTTTACTATCTATGGTCCTCTCAAGTTCTTACACTTTTAAAAGTATTTGATGTGTGAGTACTGTATTTCTGTCATTTCTGTCTTGCCTTTTCCTCTTTCCAACACACTCCCCCCATTTATAGCCTCTGTAGTTATTGTTACATACACATACACACGTGCACACACCACCCCAGTGAATACATCAATACAACTGCCTGAGCCCATTCAGCTTTGCTCCTTGGAATATGTGTTTAGAAGTGACCACTAGGTGTGAGGTAACCAGTTAGGGAGCTCATCCCAGGGGACAATTTATTCTGCCTCTCTCAGTAGTCAATTAATGACCAATGGAGTTTGTTAAACTATTGATTCATGGGCCCTAGGAATTGGATTGGAAAACTCTGCAGAAGTTTGGTATCCCAGAATAAGAGATGTCTATTTTCAGAGGGTGTGACCAGAACACTGGGTCATGGCAAATAGACAACAGAACCCTTGATCCTATCCAATGAAAGTGATTCAATGAAATTTCTTGAACAATTAGCTCCTTCTAATCTCTTTGCCTGATAGATCGATCACTTTGAGGAAATGACTGTTTACTGACTGGGGCAAGCAAAGTGAGACTAATGACTTTTTTCATTGCCATGTAATTCTTAAAAACTGTGGAGCAAGAATAATGATATGTTGAAACAGAAGTAGATCACCGAAGTTAATCTCTCCAACTGAACCAAACAGTATTACTTCATACACTAGACAAATATTTGTAAGGTTACTATGAGTTTAATGGAGTCCAAGACTACTGATTCATTGAGAAGGGGTATTCTTATTCTTATATTATGTAAAAAGACAGTGACCAACACTCTGTGCCAGTTCAGAACAATGAAAAATTAGCTCAGCACAGGCTTATGGTTGGTATCACCACATATAAATATCTTACTAATGTATGTGGTATTCGATATTACCAGTGGTATTTTCCTTGATGAATGATTTCTATGTACGGTTGAGACTCTGTTGGGTTTTATTTAACTCTCAACGGTAACCAAATGAGTGAAGACAAGCTTTGAAATAGCTAACTAATATCACTAGAGAATACGGAACTGAAGGGAGCTCAGTAGTTGGATCACCCCTGGCAGCTATCCTAATCTTAACCCAGGCACTTTTGGCTTGCTTTTCATTTAATTTTGCTACAAGACGCTAAAACCCAATTGCTTTCTTCTGCACAGCAAAATGCATCTCATTAGCTTTTCCACTAAGGCCAATTTATGCAAATCCGACATTATTAACTAAATAATTGAAGTGACCTTAGTTTGCAAGAAAGGAAATAATGTGGCATTGAGGTACAGGAGAAATATTAGGACTGGAGCATTCTTGCACGCCCTTGTTCCCATCACCTCAAAAGCAGCATGACATAATGCACGCTCCACACCTAGAGCCTGCTGATCAACAGGAAGAGGTGGCGAAAACTCTAGCCTGGGATCAGACTACCTCAGCCCCCAGTCTTTTCCCCTCATTCTCCTTCTCAGTCACTAAGGGTGTTACAAAAAACTCAAGACAGTTCAGGGAAAATTACTATGTCATAGACTCCAAACAGGTGATGAATAAATTTTTAAAAAGGATAGAAAAATCAAAGACTAGAAAATTATATCTTTTTTCCCCTGAGATTTATTAACATGATTTTTTTGTTTCAATGTCTTTAGTTTGAAATTCATCTACTGGACAGAAAAGAGCCATGCCATATGTTGTAGGGGACCATTAAAATATTTGATCTCTAACATGGACATGTTTGCTAAAATAAGAAACTAAGATGATTTCTTTTCCTGTTGACAGCAACATGTTAGAATCCAGATTTCCTGCAGCTTTTATGAAAAGCATGGAGATGTTTCATTAGTGGCCTGCTGAATCAGATGTGCTCTGTACACCAACAATATTGAAGCCTTCGACATTGACGTGACAGACAATACTCATAGGGAGAATATTTATACTGTTATCAGACCATTGTAGAGAAACTTGTCCACTGTGGAGCTGAGCCTGGATCCAGTGTGAGGAAATGTACTGCGGGCTTTCCAAGTACTGCTGGCTCCGATCCCAAGCACCTTTGAAAACCTCTTTTCAATTAGCAAGTTTTGAGTCTTTCTGGGCAGACTCTGTCCAGTCAGCTCCTTTTGATATTACAATAATGAGCTGATCTTAAACACATCCTTGCAGCTTTGACTGGGTAGATCTGGAGAGTTCAGAAAAGCCAAGAAGAAAGGGCATACTAGCACAGTCCTGCCACTGAAATTCAGGCTTGCTTGTGAGCATGAGTCAATAAAACAGCCAGTTTTCATTCTCATTCTACTGAATTAGCTAAAGGGTTTATCATGCAGGAGCGTTAAAATATGCATGCTACATACAACTCTTATGAATTAAACCATTCTCAGAACCATGAGAATACTGGTCAGAAACTGGTTAGACTTGTAGCCACAGTCTATCTGACCACTGCAACTGAGAGTGGGTCCCAGATGACAAGGACTTCATATACAATGGCCTAATGAATGCAGTCCTCTCTCCTGAGGTGTAGTAGCATTATCTCCTGGCCAGCATTTGCATGCCACGCTTTAACCAGGAGCCTGTTTTTCCTCTTCCAAAGCAACATAAATTGCTGCCACATCCTCAGGCCAGCAAGATTAACCTCCATGTTGAGGGCATAAAAAGCTAAGTTCCCAAATGGCTGAAGATACTGGCAGGTGTATCACAAAGCTGTGTATATCATCTTTTCTATAAATCTACTTTGATTCTTACCATATATTCAAATAAAAGAGAATCAGGCTATTCCCCCAAGTAATAATGATGATGATGATGATGATAGTCAAGCATGGTAGCTCATACCTGTAACCTTAATGCTAGGGAGGCAGAGACGGGAGAACCTCTGAGGCTTGCTGTATAGATAACAGGAGTTAATCTACCTGAGTCAGAGAGCTCCAGGTTCAATGAAAGACCCTGGCTTAAAAAATAAGGTGGACAGAGATTGAGGGAGGTATTTGATAATGAACCTCTGGCCTACATCACCCCCATCTCCAACCCCCCCACACACACATGAGTAGTTCTTCCTTTATTCAGCTCACTTCATTCAACAGTTAGTTATATAACACAGAAAAGCGAGGAATATGCTCTACCAAAACCAACATAAAAAGGCTTCCCCATAAGGGTAAGAAGTTGGTAGTGTTGCCATACCACTTTAATTCCAGTACTAAGGAAGCAGGGGCTAGTGAATCTCTCAGTTCAATCAAAATAGATGCTCACAGTTCAGTGATTTGTGTGTGACTGCATAGCTAACTTAAATGATCCAGCACAACATTACTTAAGAGCTTAGGAGGTGCCTGACGACACTGAAATTCCTGATTGTTCTCTACCTCAGCAAATGTTTGATACATGCCAGCATAAGCCCACATGACTCATAAGACAGCTTCAGGGAGAAATGAGACAGAAATCTTTCATTGAAAAGCTCTAGTCCATGTTTATTGCAAATACTACTCTCTAGTAAAGCCGGGCCTCTTACCTGTGCTCTCCTGAGAATGCTGGGCTTGTCAGTGTTTGCTGTTCGATAGACTTTTCCCATAACTATTGTTTTTTCCAAAGGCCCTCATGCTCTCTCCAGCTTCTGGTTGCAATCTCACATTTGGGACGGTAAAAATAGAAGACACTAAGGAGAGAATGAAATGTTTCCGTTTACATATTTATACATGTGTTGACATTTAAAAGAGGAAAAGACGACTGCAATTCCGTGTGGGTGTCCAGCAAGTGAAACACTGTGGTATGTGTCAGTGTTTGAAATGCCAAGTGGTCAAAGGTGCACACACAGCTATATGCATTTACACACGTACACACACATACACATTTGGATGCGGTAGAGCCACAGCTCCTGTTTCGCTGATCTTAGAATGATAAACTTGGACTTCGAGACAAGTCTTTGCCATTTTTTTTAATTCATTCATGAGAGAAGTACTTTTTTAAAGGATTTATTTATCTTATATATGTGAGTACACTGTCACCGTTTTCAGACACATTAGAAGAATGCACTGGATTCCATTACCGATGCCACTATGTGGTTGCTTGGAATTGAACTCAGGACCTCTGGAAGAGCAGTCAGTGCTCTTAACCACTGAGCCATCTCTCTAGCCCCCCAAGAGAAGTACTTTTTGCCTCTAACATTTCCTGGGAAGTTTCAGAAGGAGCTAGTTGTGATGAGAAGATTATGAGTTTGATTCCAGCAATCTGAACCTTTCAGTGTTCTACAGGCGGCTAAGTGGAGAAGGTAAGTAGTTGGTTGAATATGAGAGTCAGAGAACTAGGACTCCAATGGGACTTTTGGAGTCAGTGTAAGTGTGTGGATGATATTTCAATCTTGAGGCTGGAGGAAATCATCAGCTCTAGGGAATGAACCAGCTAGAAAGGTCTAAAGAGGATGCATTGGGAACTTACAGCATTCCTTAGCCTGCCTGGCAGATCAGTGAGTTTGCAAAGGAAAGTTGCAGGAGGTGAAAGTCAAACCATGAAAGAATCCTACCCTGGGAACCAAGGGAAGGACGTGCTAATAGGAAAAGGTGCCAGATAAATGTGCCTAATTCCACTGACAGATCAAGAGGAAATCTGGGAAACCCCTAAAGACAGAGGTGTTAAAATAGCAGTATAGGAGTTATTGCCACCTACATAGAAGACATTCAAGATGGAACAGGAAAAGGAAAGAGCTGAGCTGTTCAGCTGTTTAGCATGGTGATGCAAGCTTTAAATCCCACCATTAGGAAGGCAGAGGCAGGCAGGGAGCTTTGTGAGTTCAAGGTCACTCTAGTCTATATATAGTAAAACCCTGTCTCAAATTAAATAAATTTAGTAATAAAAAATAAGTGTGCTTGCTATATTCATAAAAAGATAGCATGACACTACACAATAGCATCACACTATTGTATTATAGATGACAAAGCAGGTGAAGCTACAAGCATTAGATCTAGGAAAGTCCTCCAGGTCTTCCATGCCTTCTTCAGCTTGCTCTCTGAATGAGGAGTTGGGAGCACAGAGGGACTAAGGCACACACCTGGCCAGGCGCTGTGGAGCTGAGCGTGTAGTTGGGTTGTCTGATTCCCAGCTCATTGCTCTCCACGCCAGATCAATTTGCTGGCCTTCTTTTAGGAGACTGGAGTTTTGTGAATTAGCAAATGAATGTAATAAAATCAAGGCCTCTGCGCTGTGAACTGTATTTTGTTCATTTACTTCGACAAGGATAGTTCAGCTTCAATTATTTATGGAACTTGATAGTATACACAGGAGAATGCCATGTGCTGTGTCTGAGGAAACTAATGAACTGCTTCTAAATCAACCCTATATTTATTTTCCTGCAATTAAATCCTCATGAAGAAGTAGAGCAAGGCTGTTGGGGTTTGGGGACAGGAGAATGACACTGTCACCATCCCTGGTCAGCCTGGCTGCCAGAGAGATCCCTAGGTAACCCTATAATTACTTTTGCTTGATGTGTTAATTCTTTTTCGTGCTCTGTTTACACTAATATTTTGCTTCTAAATTTTCTTATTACATAACTACAATAAGCGTTCACAGATCTAAGGTGTTTCAGTGGCCATTTTGAAAAGTATGTTGACTTTTCCTATACCACTAGCAGGGGTTGGCCATTCATGATACACTTCTATACTTCCTACCACGGTTCCTGGTGAATCCAGATCAGTCCTATCAGCTGTATTATCTGTCCCCTGGTGGTCACTTCCCTACGAGGTCCAAATGGCCCCATTCATTCTCACGTCCATGTGGACTATACAATCCCACAGGGCCTGACTTCTCACAGCAAGGTGAGGCTGAGGCCCCATAGTCTCCTTTTTAACTTGGTTTCACTTTCCGCTTTAAGTATTTTCTGCTTTAAGCACTTTCTGCTTTAAGTATTTTCGTTTTGTGGACATTCTTCTAAAAAAAAAAAGTGCCATGAACAACTATAGACAGAGAACTTTACGCCATAGCGTGTGTCCTTCAATTCTTAGTGACTCAGCTCCAAAGTGATGGAACCTTTAGGAGATGATAAAATGTAGATGACGTCAGGAAGGGTCCTCATGATAGGATTAGTGACCTTTTAGGAACAGAGAAATATTCTCTGTACCCTGTAAGGCCAAGCAAGGTGGACTTCTGGAAGCCATGAGGACAGCCCTTACCAGGAACAGAATCAGCCAGCACTTTCATCTTGAACTCTCAACCCCTAGAACTGTAAGAATGAATATCTGTTGTCTCAGCCTCTCCCTGCCTCTCCCTGCTATGCTATTTCCTTAGGACAATATGAGTTGACCAAGAGAGCCAGGATCGTGGAACGAAGCATCAGTTCCAAGCTGGCTGCAGACACATCCCTTCCTTGGTTCTCCAGTACGCCTTGACAGGTGCACCCTCCCCCAAACTCCCTTGAAACGGAAGATGGAAGGGTTCTGAAGTGTCACAGATTCTGCCATTTGCCAGACAGTGAACTGTACAAAAAAAAAAAGAAAAGAAAAGAAAAAAACTACACTAATCTGAAGTTTAATATGAAGAATCTCAAGAGTTTCCAAGTACTGTCAGCTGAATACTCACTCAGACAAGAGTCACACAAACCCACCATTCACTTTAAGGAACTAATTCCCAAAGTCACATAAGTCTGGGGATTCTTTGTTTTGCAAACATGTTTACAAGGGCAGCCACGTTGTTCTAAATGGAAATGAGTACAGTATTTAATGCCGGGATTGTCCTGTCTGCGAATCGATTTACCTTTCATAATGATTATCTTCTAGACACAGGAATAACATTCCTGTAACTCAAAATTGTTACTGGAGGCATTTAGCAGAATCTCGCTTTAAAAATATAATGATTTTTCATCTTTATTCTCCCCCCTTCAAAAGGTTTCACTGCTCGTGATGTTTAACGTTATGCAGAGACGTGTTTCTGCCAATGAATATCGCCTTATGGTTATGCTTCTGCAAATAGCCTGCTGTGAGCTGATAAAGGGATTAATGCAGCCAAAATTCTTAATCTGTGAAATTACAAATTAAATTCTCATATTAAAAATACCACCCTGAGGTATTTTTTGTGGTTTTAATTCCCCTCTGGTGTTCTGCATACATTGTGCTTGTTAATGACAGGGACGGGGCTGTCTCGGTTGGCAGGCTGCTGCTCAGTGATAATGTGTAGGCATTTACTCCCTTACAGCAACTGGATTTAACCACTGGCTGATAAACTAAGTGGCAAGTGGGTAATAAGTCCATATTAACAGGAAAGTACTACTACAGAATTGGGAATTGGCGGACCCTCAAAATCCTGGCTTAAACTCCACCATCAAGTCAGATAGCATTGAGCTGTCACCAAGGAGGTCAAAGTGGAAGTTACCCTGCATGGGGAAAAGGAGCCCCATTTTTGAGTACAGCAAGCTATAGCACAGTGAGCTCATGTCTACTGTTTGTCTTTTCCAGCACAGGGAGAGGAATTATCTGTTCTTTTTTTTTTTTTCCTATAGGTTTTAATCTTGAATTTTCCTTTCAAGTTTGGAATCACTACTATAATAGAAGATAGATCTTTTGAAAGGAAGTAAAAGGTGCGATAAAGGAAATAGAGGCTGGGAATGCTTGAGATATTGACAAGGGTTTGTAATCAGAAGGGGAGCATCAGGTCAATGCAGCCCTGGTGGGGAGGGGCAAGAAGTACACATAAGTGAGATAAAAAGGAAAAGTTAGGTTAAGGAGACTCAAGGGAGTTGCTACTTAGGATTTAGTCCTTAAAGAAAGGGTGACTGTGACTGTTGCTATGGAGAATCCAATACTGCAGGAGTAGTCAGAAATTCCGGAGACAAAGGAAGTAACTTCACATCTACTATAAGTGATGTATGCAATAAGAATTAATAAATGCATTATAAATATGTATGTATCTATGCAGTATGCTATTTTTAAGGCAATCAGGAAATACGAAATATCTCTAACTGGTCTTTGGAACATATCACCACTGAAGAAAAATATTCCTACTCCTGCCACGGTGTTTTTCAAAATTTCACAAGAATTCTGTTTCACACTTGGGAAGAAAGCTGAGATCCTCCCAGCCATAAATCCTTCCCCAAATACTTTAAATGTAATTGAAAAAGCCTGTGTAAATATGAGCACTTTTGTAAAAACAAAACAAAAACCCACCCAGGAATGTGTTTTGTTTTAAAAAGATCTAGAGAAGAGCTGTCTGTACAAATACCAAGAGCATGTGTAGTTAAAATGAATTACATGTCTTCAGTTCTTACATGTCAATTCAGTGTATTTGCCAATTGCCAGCTCTGTTCCTCAGCTCACTGCCTAGCAGTGCTTTTGAAGGTTATTGTTACACCCAAGATGGTCTCTGAAAATCAAACAGAAATGAATCATTTTTCCTGTGTACTGCAGCCAGTTAAAATAGTACTGTATGCAGAAAGCACTAAATATGTAAATCATATTTTCCTTTTCCTTTATGACTGCTCAGATCATTTTATTTTGGACACACACATAATCAAATACAAAGACGTGCAGCTGCCGACTGCAGAATAGAGATAGCAAAAAATGAATCCATTTTCTTTCTGTGTCTGGTAAGCTAGCAATTGAATGGCAGGACTCCAATAATATATATACACACACGATTCCCCTTCTGGCTTGAGCGATCACCCCTCTCTCTCTCTCTCTCTCTCTCTCTCTCTCTCTCTCTCTCTCTCTCTC